TTCTATTCATATTGAATTTTAATGGCTACATTGCTTCGTTTATTTTTCGTCTGTTCCTTTCACTCCATGTTCCCGTTGTTCTTTCATTTTAAATTCGTTCGATCTTATGACTTGTCAACAAAGTCATGAACCTGAAGCACCTTTTACGCTCGTCTCTCAAACGCTGGGAGGGGGGGGGGCAATCATATCAAGTTTGTCCTTTCACATGTGTCTTTCGTCAGCTCTAGATGCTAGGTAGAGTCGATCTTGCTCCGGATTCTGCGTGTTCTTACACTCATTGATTTTGTTTTCAATTATTTGCACATAATAGTTCGATTCATTAAGAGTTCTGTTTGCCTGACGCGAACGTCTGCAGGAGAGGCTCGTTGGGCTTGTAGGAGAAACGCCTTTCGCTGTTTGATCGGTCTCTTTCAGATGCCGTTGGCGAATTTCCCGCGAGAGCCTTACCGACAAATGTCGCAGCAGCAGCGACAGCTGTGCCGTCTTCGTTCGAGGCGTTGCGAACCTCACGGAGTCACCAAGCGACCTAAGATCGACCGATCAGAGGTCGGCGACCGGATGTGTGAGGACCGCTGGCGTGGCGCGTCTCTTCAAATTAAGACGTACGATGAGGTTGTTATCTGGTCAGCAAGCATGAGGATTAAATTCATTGCATCGTCGACGCGATTACTTCATGCCAATGAGCGTCAGGAAACGTTTGCTGACCGCTGAGCCTTGAAGAAATTAACCCAGCGGCTGATTCGATATTCTAACGATCGACAGCAACTGATTTCTCACATCGTCCGTCCTTGTAAACGGACACGTCACAGCGCAGAGGACACGTCCTATAGCCCAGTCGATCCACTAGTGTCAACGTTTGACCTGCGAAGTTAGCCATCGGTAGGTAGGCGAGGCAGCCAACTGACATTAAGCTTTGCATCGGTCGGTGTCGCACCTGCTGCAACGAAAGAGTAGAAGAAGGAATAGGAGGGAATGGATAAGAGAAGGCGAAAGAGATGGAAAAGGGAAAGAATTGAAATATACGGTCACAAAATGAACCTGCAGGGCAATCGCAGAGGGTGCACTATGAAAATGAAGAACAACAGAACATAGGGATGAAGTAAAAACTGAATGAGAGTTAATAGCCGAAGGCAAAGGTAAACTAGAAAGGTTGAAATGGAAGGAGGATAAGCAGTAATAAAAGAAGAACCATAAATAAACAGGCAGAACAAGGAGAAGAACAGAAGAAAGTTTTAGTCTATGAACAAAAATAAAATAAATGAAGGGGGACAGCTTGAAAATTATATACTAATCACACCATTGGGTTTCCTAACTGTGGGTCACGAAAATAGTCCGTTGACGAATTATAGGCCAAAGTCAAAGACTATTTCATGCAAATGTATTTACTTTTCTGTCCTAATTGTATCGAAAGCGTCCATTCATAACTCATATGCTATGGTCTTATGAGAACAGCCATGTTAAGATTCTTTCATCACTACGTTTAAGTAATTTAGAAATTGTTCAGATCCTTAAACAACAATTGTCATTCAAATACTTTAACCAATCAATCAATGTTCAATCATTAAAGTTTATTGCATAAACACCAAAATATGGTCTTGCGCCGGAATGTGTTAAAAACAAACGCATAATTTCTGCAGGATCAAATGATGATAAGAGATGCATCTGGCACTGCATGCGCTCAAATGGCTTGGAATTATGGCCTATGCTACACGCATGGTTTGTATTTTCTTGTGTTCTTTTCACTCATTGTTCAATATCGGAAGGAAGGAGGCGAATGACACAGGTTCGAACCCAGGACCTCTCGGTTCTGAGTTCAATGTTCTATCGACAGAGGAGCAGCAACAGTCCAAAGCAACATTTAGCAAATTCCTTGCTCAAGAGAATATGTGATACAGACAGAAATTGCTGCTGCGTTAATCGAACTCTGTACCTCCGGAGTTCCAGCTCGAAGCCGACCTCTTATACACTGTGCACTTAAATAACCTCTAGAAACTCTGAGCAAAGCTGCGATGCGGTGCGCCGTGAAATCCGGTCTTGAGAGGTTATGCAATATCTAATAAAAGTTTTTTGTCCGTGTGAATCTGCTGCCTTCTGAAAACAGATAAAAGCTTTTTCAAAAATATTCACTGTTCGAGTTTCAACTTCAACATATTACTGGCACAGCTGTGCAGTTTCCTATGTCTGATTGAGTATGCAGATCTGTGGTCTTTATCAGATTAGCATATTGCACTAATTACTTGAAAATATTTTCGTACGCCGCAGTCCTTATCTTGGAGAAGTTTGGCATCATGCTAATTACTGTTAGTTAACTGAGAAAATTGAATGTTGAGCTGGCGAAATTAATCGGCTGTTTGCCACATATAATCAGTTATATTGATAACATATTTCTAGACGTTATTATCAACATGGGCCACGTGGTACATCCCTAAAATTTATGCGCATTTCGCATTAATTTTTTCACGTATCAGACGTGCTTATTAATATTCTGATACCTTATTTACCTTTTGCTGAGGCAAAAATATGCACATATGCCTATGTACAAATTTACGCAATCTTCCCGTTCTGACCTTCAGTTTATGACAGTCGTCAATAAAACCGGATAACTTATTGCCCAGAATCGCTTCGTGTGTCACCTTTGGCCCTTTGGCTACTCTTCTACCTCCATATCTCCTACCAAGCTCGTACTTGAAATATGGTCCACATTCCTAAGATCCCAAAGCACACTATAGATCTCATACGAAACGCTTAGTGTATCGCTAAAGCAAAGCCTTTCTACTAATCTACACCCAGTGGGCAACGCATCTAAGATCCTGTCCTTCGCAACATCCTATTCCCAGGAGACAAATATAATCGCTTCAAAAATTGTGTCGTGGCCCTACTGTTGCAGTGCGTGTTGAACGTGCCCGCAATGTACTGTTTTGCGTGTCGTGCTGTCTCAAGAGCATGCCCCTAATCTCTAAGGGAATAGGGATATCTACGATGACCGTTATCTTGAAATTGTTGCTCAGGATGATTAGCTGTGGCCACAATATGGAAGATACCATAAACGGTATTTAGTTAATAGGGATTTCGATGTAGGAACCTCTGGAAAACTGTGCCATAATTTTGTTAAATATTTTGTGTGTATTGTATGCGTGTGTTAATATGTGGTGGCATTGAACGTGCAGCAGTATCTGTATTTGATACTCTCAATTCGTGCTGGAACGAGCGTAGACACTGATTGGAGGAAATTCGAGAAGTGCATGGTGTCTAGAGCGGTAGATTGCGTAGCAGAGGTACTACTTCGCTTACATTTAGTGGTAAGAGGCCGCATCGTGAAAAATGCAGCTTGCTACTTTGCGTTAAGCAGTCTGTTCAATCCGTTACTTCGTATGTTAGGAGTGCATCAGGGAGTTCAGGACTTTTCAAAACCGACGTTCCTCATCTGAGATCAGCACACATATTTTGGTACCGCTAGGTCCACTGACAGAAGTTCTATTCTCAGAATAGATGACTGTCATACACAAAGTTTTATGTACGTTAGATTTAGCCTTTTCCATCTGTATAACGTTGGCGCGTAAATTGTAATCTTATCAATCTGTTTAACGTTATGCGGGGTAACGAAAGCTCTTCAGAATCGATATTTTCAGTATATTACAGTACAGTGAATCTTGAGAAATATGGAGGCTCTTAAGTCACTCCCATTAATTTGTCTAACTAACGGGAAAAAATGAATGCATTCAGAAAAATACGTGGAATTCATATCCACTCGTTGATAAGGCCGATTTTTTCCTTCTGCTGCTTACGGTCTATCGAGATGTCGTCCGCGAAAGGTTGAGCTGTTCAACACGTGAGGCCGAGATAGTAAATAATAAACAACGACTTCACTGTTTTGTTGCCTTCTTCGGTCAGCTTGGCGCGCATGTACCTCAGATATGCCTTTCGCTCGCAAGGTCTGCGCGATAGTCAACCATCATGCAACCAGTTAGTAAAGCCGGCGAAGCAAACTTCCTGGCTCAGATATCAATTCAGGCACGATTCAAAGTGACCTAGCCGTGCCATGCAAATTTATCGTTGCGTGCGAATGGTTTCTGGACCTCAATCAATTCTGGCAGGAGTGACACATTAATCCTAGGGACGAGTTTCCGTGTTCACCATTAAGACAGGAAACGTCAAGAAAGTAGGCTTGAATGTAAAGTTGAGGAAGAGTATGGAAAAGTGATAGCATATATGACAGGATTGCTTTCAGCGAATGGCTTGAAGCGTACACGTCTAGAACTCGTTGTACATAGGAAAAGGCTAAACGATTTCTCTCAATGACGGTTTTTACTTATTACTGTCAGAGAGAATCAGCGACGGCATGGTTGCAAAATATTTTATATGATCTGACAAAATTAGACCATATTCCTACAAGACTACATCTTACGGCTTATTGCATCTCCCCTGACTCGACTTGCCCATGGGATCGTAAAATAGTTCAGAGTGAGCGCCGAGTGTTCAAGTTTCCAGGGAACAAAATGATACGATATGTCTAGCACAGAAGGTGCTCAAATACAGTGCAGCTGTAGCTGAGCTGGCCTACATGACCCTTTCTTCAGGCAGATAGGAGCAACAGACGGTGCAGCACGCTGTGCAGTCTGGTACTGGATTAGTCATGCAGTGCTTGGCATTCTCCAGCGTGCGCACAATTTATGATATTTTTAAAAATGATCATACCCAATTGTTAACTGTGTCTGAATATGTTACAAATGGTAAAACGCTGAGATAATAAGGTGTTCCCAACCACAGATCGCAAACAGCATTGCGAAAGAGCAAACGACAACAGTAATTTATATTGTGGATTTGTGTATATTTGCATGGGTCAGATGGTGCGAGCGACGACTAATTTTGTGCAGCCAAGTTTGGAATGATTTATCTGTACCGTTAATATCTTACACATCATACCTCTTCGTTAAACTCGTTTGAAAGATACTCACTGTTCTGAACTGTCAAAACATTTACTCTGCAAAATGATTCACAGTGACTTGCAGCGTAACCGTTATCGACAAACAAAGAAGGAAGTTACTTGCGATGCGAGTCATAGATTTCATTAATCAACGTCAACCGCCTAGCGAATTACGCAAAAATGAGGGAGCGGCTTCCATTGCGTAACGACCGGTCAACTCATGATCTCGAGCGACATCTTCGAAAGGAGGTGTGTTGTTTGTTCGAAAAATTCGAAAAAGCGAAGCGCGACTGGGTTGCCATTGACTGAATCACTGTTGACTAACACACGATCATATGTGGCATGCAGACAAGCGCAGTTCTGCGTTTGTCCGTTTATTTCCCGGCTAGGCTGAGGGTTCGCGAGTCACTGCCTTGGTACTAACTCGTTTGAGAACTAATCGTTTCAATTCTGTCAGATGCTGAGAAACGGACAGGATATGTACGACCTACTAGAAAAGTGAAGGGCGTTGTAAATGTTCGGCATTATATTTTGTGCTAATCATATACTCTACAGTTATTCATGAGACGGATGCAATGCCAACTGCGGCCTCAAGAGGTGCTACAATTTGCCCATTCTGATACGCCCGCATAAGAACGCCGTACTGTTCTTGAGGTTCGTAAGTCGACAATTTGTCACTTGATTTTCGGCCGGTTCCCCTGAAACAACGTGGAGTGAATTCCTTGTTCGAAGGGATCAACGGTGAAGTGAAGCATTTGTCTCGGAATTCAGTAATGACTCCTTCGGA